ATATATATATGTATATATATATATATATTCGGAATTCATGCGGTGGTACTTTTTCATGTTTTGGTTACACATGGATAGATAGATGATTCAAGGATGAATTTCATTCATCATCAAGATTAGAAAGCACCCGCTCATAGACAAATACCCAAATTTATCATCTCATGACATTTGATCATTAAATGGAATGAGTGGTATTGGGACGAATTAAATAATTACCATATCCATTGGATGAAGGAGGTTTTCATCTATTTCGCTCGTGATAAGGCAAACTTAGCGATGTTTGAGTGAATGTGGTTGGACGTATAATAATAGTTCAATATAATTGTATTATCGGTAGCACAGAAACCAGCTTGATCGTATCAATGTGAAATATTGTTGTTGGTCTACCATTTAAAGCATTGTTGATCTATACATTCACCTGTACTGTACTCAGTATGGCTAAGATTATAAATTTTTTGATGTAAAGTATAGTTGAAGTAGAGTTTCCTTAATATAGATGTGTTGACAACAGTGATGTCAAGCATCGTCACTACACCAATCAAAGATATTTCACAAGCTCGAAAGGACAATGTAATCATGGTCAGTGTTGTCGGTGCTAAATGAAATTGAATAACTTCACATAGCAACAATAATAATTTAGTTGATGAAATCAATCACTTGTTTCGAACTGTTTAAATTTAATAATATCACAACAGCTATCCCTATGAACGATGATATAATACGCATAGTAATAGTACTAATGGTAAGCCTACTACTAGTATTATAGTAATCAGTTTAATTAATGTAAGCAGTTTTATTGTGTTAATAAAACAAAATGGGATAAACATATGTTTGGTATTGTTGAATGTGTATGAGGTGGCATTTTAAGAAAATTAATCTCTTTCATTTATTTATTGCTCTCTATAAGTGTGTAGCATATTGCTAGTGCTGATGTTGCTACCGAGCTGAACATTTAATCAAATCGACCGAAAACGAAAGAAATAAAGGCAAAGCACAAATTAATCTCGTGAAGGGATGAAGAAAGCCAAAATTGAAAATCAGCTAAGCAACGAAATTGATCAGGTTATCCATGACGATAAGCACATGAAGGGACAGTCGAGGGCGCGTATCTAAAAGTGTCGGTTGAGCCTAAGTAAGCCAAAGCCTGAGAAATGACGCACATGCGATATCCTTCAGCCGCTTAATCAACGCTGAACCTTTGAAAGCCTCAGCGTTCGAGACTGATTTAACTGGAATATGAAACACGAATGGATGTTTTGTTCGAATAGAACAGTCAAGTTCGTTTTAAAGATTACACTTGTGCTATCGAAATAAAATTTGGAATTATCTATATGTTTTTGTTTATAATTCAATTCGTACTGAAAATGATTATTGTGAGACTGAAAAGTCAACCTTTTAATGCACTGAAATTCATGCGTTTTAGTCAGTTTCCTTGCGACTTCGTCGGTTATTCGTAAACAACTGTACGTACAAATCGAAAAAAGGTTCTATTCCGGACTCGACACACAAAACTCCCAGAAAATCACGTTCTCATTCTCGCGTTTATTTTTTGCTACATAATATAAGTATTAATAATACGTAGCGTGATAGACTGACGGATAGGTGTACTGCTGAATAGGTGATAATTGGTTAGGTAACATAATCTAGCATAAACATGCTGTGAATGAATAGGAACGAATGAAGTGATGAGTCATACTTATTTTAAAATTAATGTTATTATTCTTGTTATTATTATTATTATTCTTATTATTATTAGTATTACTTTATTATTATTTTACCATTATTATTATTATTATTATTATTATTATTCCATTAATACTTTGATCATTAATGTATCGTTGTTGATAGATGAATATACCCTTTCTAATACATTTGTATGAAGCGTTCAGATAGTTCTTCATTTTCCATGCATAAGTATGAACGGTGCTAATCAGTCATTTGACGGAGCGAAAGCCTTGCTTCGTTGAGATTTTAGTTCGTTTCAATAACGAGCGAAATGCTGGAACATTGCAAAGATAATAGTGATTAACGAATGAGAGATTTGAAGGAAAATGCAATTTACTTTGAATATATAATTTTTGATTAGTATGTTAGGATTGTTATCATTATGTAATGAACAACATCATTGTTTTGTTTAAACACGCGCGGATTGACAGATCATGATTATTTCATAGCGTAATCCGAGGGGAAGTGAACGAAGAGAGGGAGGAAAGAGTCAAATTGAAGTGCTAACTGATTTAAACGATAATCAAGAGGAAACGATAAGAATATGTGGTTGATTGTCGATATAAAATGATGAGATTATCGATAGATTCGTTGTTTGGAGTGGAGGGTTGGCGAGGGGGATTTGAGATTGCGGGGGTAGAGGGAGGGAATTAATTCAGCGATGAAGGTGGAGATGATGAATTTTCGATTTAATTAAGTGCATGTAGTGGAGATAGGATAGAACGGATGAGCAAGTCAAGTTATGTAAAGTCAAACCAGTCATCGAATCAAACTTGTAATAAATAATATTTGTTGTTGTTTTTTGTTTTTCACCATCAACAAAATTGAATGTCAGGCATAAAGCAGCTTCCGATCTCCTCTATGCACCCTGAGCGAACCACAGGACTAGTTTTGATCATGTTCGCGTCTTTTGATGACCTCTGAATGATATTGGATTGTTTGATTTTACAGTAGATGAGTTCATAGTTAAATTAACGGCTGGGGCATAAAAGGTTAATTTCGACTGACGATGGCACAGATGCTAGAAGATTCGGTTGAGCGAGCATGTATTTTTATTATGAAGTATTAATATACAAATGTGCATCCGAATAAATACAAATTTTTTTAAACATATAAATTCTCAGGCTTCATACTTGAAAATTTTTATTCCTCAGCTGAACGCTCAAGTTATTTTACTGACAAGACTGCATGGAGACTATTTATTGAGGTTATGTGTATACCTCTTTTTAAAAGAACATGGTTATGCAATATAAACCGCAGTAATAGTAAAAATTTAAAAAATATCAGTGGTTATAGTAATGATGAATTAATGTATGTTTAGATCATCGTAATGAATCTATTTTGAAAGTTTAGATCAGCACGAATTCAAGAGTTGATCAGAAATGCAGGTGAACATTTGAATGAAATAAGTGGTATGCAAATTACTACAATCGCAGATGAATCATGTGCTCATGAACCATGTCCGTACTATCAACAGTGTAGACAAACACAAAAATACCTTCATAGCATACAGGTTGTTCGATTCATTAGTAACATTATTATTCTCATTGTTTATATGATCACTATTTTAGTTGTAGTCTCACGATAACTTTGAATAACATCTATGATTTATTTGTAATTTTGTTACGTCAAATAATTTTCTCTGTTATTATGAACCACATTTTCAGCATTTCAAAACGGACAGCTTCTTAATGAGATCATTAAGCGTTGTTGGAACTTTCACATGCGAATGCGCGAAAGGGTTTGCTAGTAAGAGTTATTATTGTTGTTATTGCTTTTTGATTATTATTATCATAACTGTAATATTTATATACATATTAACATGCTTGCATTATGATATTCATTTAAGTCATTTGATAACAGTATTTAATTTAAGGTTCAGATTCATTAAAACAATTATGTAATGAACGGATTGATCAATGTTATTCATCACCTTGCCAACATGGTGCCACGTGTATACCGCTTGAGAGTAGATATCGTTGTGTGTGTACGCCTGATCGAACGGGTAAATTTATCAAAGTCGTTGTCATTAATAGTTTAATTGCATGTGCTTGATTATGTTTTGCCTTGTAGTTTTTTTTTTTGTTGAATATTTCATCATTCTTGACAAATGTTCTCAAACTATTTCTCAGCAGCAAAAATTCAAGTGAACAGTTATTAGATATACAAACAGCATTTGATTTTCACTCTCCTATTATGCGCGATTCGTACTCAGCATATTTGTTTTACCGTCATCATTTTTACGCTATCAGATTGCGAGTTCATAACATAAGCGACTCTATAGCTCATCTTTCTATCGGAGCTGTCATCTCCCATCGCCAACTTTTCAAGTATGTGCAGTATATCTAAACCATATTCGTTCGTAATAATAATAATGATAGTAATAATAATGATAATAATAATAATA